GATAGGAAGATTGTGAGTTCAAAGCCAGCCTGGGCTACATGGTGAAACCCTATCTCATAAAAATGAGGGCAAGGATGGATGCTTGCCTAGTTCGTGTGAGGCTCTGGGTTTGATCCCCAGCTCTGGGTAGGCCAGGTGTGGTGATTAGCCCCTGTAATCCCAGAACTTGGGAGTTGGAGGCAGGAGTATTAGGAGTTCATGGAGAACCTGTGTTGTATGAGATTCTTTGCAAACATGCAAAAAGTCCAATCATGTTGTTCCTCTGTTAACCCCCGCCTGTCTTGTACTCACTCTTCCACAGTCCTCTCCTGCTCACAGGATCTCCAGGCAGTCCAGAGCTTCGTCCCCCACCCCCATCACAGTCCCATACCTTTGGAAGTGCCTTGCTTGTGCTATGGGGCCATGAAATCTTGGTGTCCTTTGGACATAGCAAATACATGCTGTCTCCCCTTCATCTGGATTGGTGTAGACAAATTGCTAAATGGTCTTATTAAATAAAAAACTTGAAGCCAGATGTAGGGGTGAAAACCTGAGAGATCAGAGGAATAGGAAAAGCCACAAGCTAACCTCACCTCACCGACACCTCAGTCTCCAAGGAGACCTACTTCCTGTATACCCACGCCTATATGCCTTTCTGTTCTGCTATCTCATTTCCTCTCTGTCCAGCTACATCACTTCCTCTTCCTGCCCAGCTCTGTCACTTCCTGTCTGTCTGTACAGACCTCCATGGTTAACTAGTGTTGGAATTTAAGGTGTGTGCCACCATGCCTGGCTCTGTTCCCAGTGTGGCTTTGAACTCACAGAGATCCAGACAGATCCCTGCCTCTTGAATGATAGGATTAAAGGCATGTGCTGCCATTGCCTGATTTCTGTGTTTAATCTAGTGGCTGGCTTTTTCCTCTGATCCTCAGATAAACTTTATTGGGTTGCACAAATAAAATATCACCACAGATTAGCTTCCGTTAGATGTCTGAGTGACATCCTCTCTCTTTCCGTCAGGTCTCAGTTCAGATAGGAACTTCAGGAGCCCTTGCTGACTGCCAGTCTAGTCACCTTGTTTTACTTTGTCGTAGCAACTAGACCCTCTGTTTATACCTTTGGGCCTCTCAGCTCTGCCCACTAGTGTTGGGCTTCGTGTGACTCCATTGTGGTCCTGAAGAGCACATAGGTGTGGAAATAGTTACCATGCTAGAATTAACTACCCTTTCTCTAGTCTCTTCATGGTGGACGGTGGGGTGGGGGGCTGGGAGGGGCTCCTTCCTGGCAATGGAGTCAGGTGCATTAATAAACTGGACACATTGTATTGCCCCCAGGGGCCTTCGAACTGAGACTGGAGGGTGACAGGAACGACCTTGGATGCCTCTCCAGTGCCAAGACATTGTTCCTTGATGTCCCTCAGTAGATTGGCAAGCAGATCTATGCCAGGCCAAGGTACGGAAGGGACAGTAAGAACAAGAATTAGAGAAGTTGTTTTTACTTATTTGTACCGTAGGGAATTGAATGTGGAGTCTTGTACAAGATGGGCAAGCGCTGTGTGGCTGAGCCGTGGACCCAGCCTCTTGTGGAGTCTCGGCCAGCTAGCTGTCCTCCGCTGAGCCATGCTTGTGGACTTTAGGGATGAAGATTAAGTGGCCTTTGGGCTGTCACCTAAGAGTGGTGGTTAGGGGAGTGCCAGGCCCTGTCGGGAGCACCTTAGTGCACTGACTAACTCAGTCCTCGGACAGTCCCACGAGGTCAGCGTGCTTGTCCACACACACACACACACACACACACACACACACACACACACACGTACACACACACGCATTTGCAGTATCTGGGATTGAACCCAGGGCCTTACACCTGCTAGGTTAGCCCCTTACCACTAAGCTACATCTCTAACCCTCTTTTTTGAGACTGGGTCTCACTAAATTACCCAGAGTGGCCTTGACCTAACGGTTGTCCAGGCTGGTCCTAGACTTTTGATTCTCCACCCAGCCTGTTGCCGACAGGCCTTTGACTCTGGCCTGGCTTTGTCTGCACTTACTAAGGCAGAAGAATCCCAAGAGATGGCGAGTGCCTGCCTTGCCCACGGTACACCAGGGAGTGAGGAGCTTTGATGTGAGGCTGTGAGTTCCCAGCCTGCAGCACCAGACTGTAACGTGTGCCACGAGGGTGAGTCAGTGCCCGCAGAACCTTGGGAGGGAAGGGGTGTGTTGGGATGCATAGCTGGATAGTGAGTGGGAGATAGCTGCTGTGCCTAGCTGTAGGCGCCTCAGTTTCATGGCCTGTAAAATGGGGGGGATGATTGTAATATCTACCAGAGAGCAGAATTAGGGTGAGACATTGGTAAGTGTGCTTTGGGGACACCCTGGGTTTGCTGGGGAACTGCATGGTATACTGTAGTGGTCTAGATTGTGGGGTGTCATACTTGATTCTAGCAGAAGGCAGAGAAATCATCTTCAATGGCCTAAAGGGCTTTTGTTATTATATACTCCTGGGGACAGTGGAAGACTTCAGTATGTGTTGGGGAAGAACATGGGTGAATGAGGAGGGAGCTCCGGCCAGCTCATATTCATCCAGGGTTGGGGAGGCCAACCCAGAGTGGAGTGGAAGTCAGACTGTGTTCACAGTGTGTCATTCCTGTGAGAGCTCAGTAAGGCTAGAGATGGGTCAAGTGTGAGGTAGTTGTTGGGCCAGCAGCCTAGAGTGAGCTGGGGACAGTGATGTGTCCACGGTGATGGGGGTGTGGTGGTCTGGACGGTTCTTTGGTAGTGATGTGTCCATGGTGATGGGGGTGTGGTGGTCTGGATGGTTCTTTGGTAGTGATGTGTCCATGGTGATGGGGGTGTGGTGGTCTGGATGGTTCTTTGGTAGTGATGTGTCCATGGTGATGGGGGTGTGGTGGTATGGATGGTTCTCTGGTAGTGATATGTCTATGGTGATGGGGGTGTGGTGGTCTGGATGGTTCTTTGGGGAGCCCAATGTAGAGGGTACTCTTTTCTACATTGGAGTGAAGACTGAAATTTTGGAGCACCGTTTGGGAGGAGGAGCCAGGGGCAGTGATGCAGCCCTGGGAAGGAAATTGGGATTCCCTTAGTGAAAGATGGTGAGGAGAGGCCTGGGAGATTGTGAGGGCGTCCTCAGTGTCCTGCGGCTGCGGAGGGAGTGGGTCACTGGGGTGGTCCAGGTGTGTATGTAGGCTTGGGATGTGGAGTCAAGGGCTGGTGAAGGTGGAGCCTGGATGCTGGGATGCTGGTCAGGAGGTGAGTAGAAGAGGAGCCAGGAAAGACTTGGGACAGACTTGAAGTCAGCGAGCAGGATGAACTGTGGGTGGAGTGAGCAGGTAGAGGGAGGGGGTCTGCAGGGAACAAGAGAGGCTCAGAGCGAGGGCTGTCCAAGGGAAGAGGAGTGGGAAGTGTGCGTGTGGGTGGGGCAGGGGTGTTAGGTGGAATTCAGGTGAAATATGGGGGAGAAGGAACACAGGCAGAAAGTGGGGTGTGTGAGGGCTACCTTGAACATGTGAGCAGACTTGAAACAGAATGGGGGGCATGACAATTCAGATAGTAAATGCAGGGGGCGGGGTCCTAGGAGAACATGGAGGTGGGGGCCGATGTAGGGAGAAGCAGTGTGCTGGTGCCCCTATGCCTTGAGCTGGGAGAGTAGGATGGAATAGGGACCTTTGCAGAGAGAGAGGCCATTTCCACCCTGCAGGAGGCAGCACAAGGGGAAGACGGTGCAGGTCTGCATGGGGAGGGGTCCTGAGACAGACAAGGAGAGGAGTGAGTGTAGGGTTTGTGGGGTTCGTGCCCAGCAATAGCTAAGGGATAGTTTCTAAACCTCCAATAGGCGTTGGGAGGGGTGTGCATTGGGGAAGGGTAGATGTTAGGCCCGTTATTCAGAGGCTGAATGTCTGGGACCTAGGTGGTGGGTGGGCGTGGGCACAGGATGCTGGGCGGGGATGTGGGTCCCAGGTGGTGCAGGGTGGAGGACTAGGCCAGATTGGCAGTGGGGACGAGGGAGGCGGTATGTTGGGCACAGTTTCCCAGGTGTTCCTCCACCTCCAGTGCCCTAGTAACGGTGCTGTGGTGGCCCTGACTGCAGAGTTGAGGGGTGGGTGTGTGGGTGGGGCCTGGAACACTGGTCCTGGATTGCCAGTTAAGTTAGAAAGGGAGCACCACAGAGACTGATTAATGCTCCAGGCTTCAGAACTCGTAGAAAGCAGAAGCATAATTAGTAGGGTCTTCCAGATTTTATGGAGCCCTCCAAAACGTTCCAGAAACCTGAATTCCAAGGCAGCATGGGCTGTGTGTGTGCTCCCAAAACCTCTGTCCCCAAACCAAACCAAACCAAACCAAACCACAACCAAAGCGCAAACCACCACCACCACCACCACCACCACCACCACCACCACCACCACCACCACCACCACCAGAAACCCTAAGTGCGAGCTCTGTGGTGTTGCTGTGTTTTGTTTTGGGGAGAGGGTTTCTGTTTTGGGGTCTGTTTATGCAGCCTAGGCTGGCCTCAAGCTGTTGGCTACATTTCTTACCTCCCCTGAGTGCTAGGATAACTGGTGTGCACCACCATGCTGAGCGATTGGAGGGTTAGTTCCTGGATCTGCTGTTCATCTCAGGAGAATGACTTCATTGTTCTGTGCCTCATTCCTTGTCTGAAAGATGAGTTTAAAAATTGACACCTTCCTCACAGAGGATTAAACTGGATAATAGCTCAAAATTCACAAAGAACTGCATTGGGCATGGCAATCCCAGCACTTGGGAGGCTGAGTGGGGAGAATCATGAGTTCTGGGCTACAGAGTAAGACACAGTCTCAAAAAGACCAAGGTTGAGGGGCTGGAGAGATGGCTCAATGGTTAAGAGCACTGGCTGATTTTCCAGAGGACCCGGGTTCAAGTCTCCGCACCCACATGACAGCTCACAGCTGCCTGTAACTCCAGTCCTTTGGCCTCTGAAGACACCAGGCATGCATCTCTAGGTCTCTGTTTTGTCCCGCTCTGCAGGGACCCTGACCATGGACCAGCCAGCTGGCCTGCAGGTGGACTACATCTTCCGGGGTGTGGAGCATGCTGTGCGGGTGGTGGTTTCGGGGCAGGTGCTGGAGCTGGAGGTGGAGGACCGGATGACGGCTGACCAGTGGCGTGGAGAGTTTGATGCCAACTGTGAGTGTGCCTGCTGGGGTGGGCTCCCCTTCTTTCCCCTGAGGTCAGCTTTTTCCCCCACAGTTGAGGCTGAGCTCACTTTTGTGCTCCTGACTCTTCTGAAGCTCTCCAAGGTGGGGCAAGGGTGTGGGCCTCATTGATCTGCCAGAGGCAATGGGGCGGGTGGGCAGAGCTGGAGAACTCTGGGCTGGGTAAGTGGTCAGATCTCAGGAGGAACTTTTCTTCGCACCTAGTCATTGAAGATTTGACTCACAAGACGGGAAACTTCAAACAGTTCAGCATTTTCTGTAATATGCTGGAGTCGGCCCTTACCCAGGTAGGTACCATCTTCGGGGACTGGAAAGTTTCTGCTGCCTAGAGTTTGGGATATGGGGCTGTGGATGGGCTACCTCATGTATGCAGGGTGCTCGGTCTTCAGAACTTCTTCTGCACATGCCGGTGGTCAGGTATGGTTCTGGTGACAGTTATTCTGACAGAGAAAATTTCATATTGTAGGGCTGGGGGTGTGGTTCCATGTGGAGTGCTTGCCTAGCATGGCCAAAGCCCCCAGCTGGATCACCAGCACCTCATGATCTAGGCAAGGTGGTGTACGCCTGAAATCTCGGACCTTCAATGGTGGAGGCTGGAGGAGGAGAGGTTCAAGGTCATCCTTGGCTACTGTCTTAGTTAAGGTTTCTATTGCTTGACTATGTCAACTCTTATAAAGAAAACATTTAATTGAGGTGACTTGCGTACAGTACAGAGATTCAGTCCATTATCATCATAAAGGGGAGCATGGTGGCGTGCAGGCAGATGTGGTGCTGAAGTAGTAGCTGAGAGTACTACATCTCGCAGGCAACAGGAAGTGGTCTGACACAGTGGAGAGTATCCTGAGCATAGGAAACCTCAAGGCCCACCCCCCAGTGACACGCTTCCTCCAACAAGGCCATACCCATTCCAACAAAGCCACACCTCCTAATAGTGCCACTCCCTATGAGATTACAGGGGCCAGTTCCATTCAGACTACCACAGCTACAAAGTGAGATTGAGGCTAGGTTGGATGCTAGAGACCCTATCTCAGACAAAACAAAACAAGTGGTGTTGAGTGGTGCTGGAGAGATGGTTGGTGCTTAAGAACTCTTGCTCCAGGAGGACCTGGGTTTGGTTCCCAGCACCACTTCAGGCAGCTCACAACTGCCGTCACTTCATTTTCAGTGGTTCTCACGACCTCTTCTGGCCTCTGAGGGCACCTGCACTCACCAGACGCACCCCCACACAGACACAGAATTAAAAGTAAAATACATCTTAAAACCAAGAAAGAAAAGTAGATTTGGGTCACAGGGGAATGTAAAGGAGAGAGGAAGACCCACTCCACTCTGTGCTCTTGTTGAGATATTGGTGAAGGCTGCAGGGCTGGCCTAGCAGGTAAGGAGGTGCTTGAATGGCCAGCCTGGGGACCTGGGTTCCATCCCCAGGGCCCACCTGGTGGAAGGACAAAACAGGATACTGAAAGTTGTCCTCTGACCTCCACACGTGGCACGAGAATGCAAGTGCACACACACACACACACACACACACACACACACACACACACACACACACACACACACAGACACACACACTATGAAATAAAATCCATGACAAATTTTATATGAAAAGTACTGGAGAAATTGGTCCAGCTTTTCTTCATCTCTCTCTCTTCACGTGAATACATGTGTTTGTTTTGCAGATGTATGATTACATGTAGTTCATACATTTTCCTAAAGAATTCTGAACCTGTTTTTTTTGAGACATTGTTTCGTGTAGCCCAGGCTGCCCTGGAACCCCTTGAGCTCACTGTGTAGCCAGAGATGACCCTGAACTCCTCATCCTCTTGCTTCTATCTTCTAGTACTGGGATTACAGGCTAAGCAGCATTTGGTGGCCTGGTTTGTGCGGTGCTGGGGTAGAACCCAGGGCTCCGTGCTGGGCAAGCATGCTACCAACTGAGCCCCAGCCCCAAGATTTCATAAGAATTTAGCCACCTGGGCTAGAGAGATACCTCAGTGCTTAAGAGAACTTGCTGCTCTTGTAAAGGACAGAGGTTAGGTCCCAGCGCCCACACTGGCTGGCTTACAATTGTCTGTAACAAGCAGTAGGCTGCCTGATTAGGGTGCTGGGGTCAAACTCAGGTCCTCCAGAAGAATAGCACACACTTAGCTGCTGAGCCGTCGTCCTCCAGCCCTCTGCATAGCGTTTTTCAGATAGTGGAGTGCCCTTCTGTGCTAGCACAGCCTGGAATGTTCCGTTGCCAGGTGGAGTCTGCCGCCTCATCAGGCAGCTCCTCTTGCACTGGGGAGGTAGAGGCAGGAGGATCAGAAGGTCATCTTTGGCTACAGAGTGAGTTTGAAGCCAGCCTGGGTTACATATGACCCTATCCCCCCAAAAAACTAGAAGAAATACCCCTCCCCCAAGCACACAAGAACCCACTGATGCACTCTCCATAGACGGGTCATCCACATGACTGCATGCTGTGTCTTGTGCTCTTCATGGACGGGTCATCTGCACGGCTCCATAATGCTGTGCTTTGCTCTCGTGGGAAGTGCATGTTCATGAGTTACTCAGAAAACTCAAATGTTGGCCCATTTCGTCTTCTGCTGCCACTGGCTCGACTCCTTCCTTCCTCACCCTTCCCTCCACTTCCCCTTCCTCTTTTCTTTCTTTCCATCTTGTCTTTTCTTTCATCTCATGCAGCCCAGGCTAGCTTGGAACTTGCTGTGTGGCTGAGGATGACCCTGAACTTGTGATCCTTGTACCACCCCTTCCCCAGTGCTGGGATGACGTGTGCCACCATGCTAAGCCACTGGCCGAATTTCTCCTAAGGGGTCGGTTGTTTCACTCCCCAGTCCTTTGGCCTCATTCGTGTGACTCTCTGCACAGTGGAAAGGGCACGGTGCTGTTGCTCTTGTGAAGATCGCTGTGACCTCCTGGCCCTGCAGGTCTCTGCCCACCCCAGAAGCCATCGGTGTGCGGGGCTTGAGCGCTTAGGTTCTGTCCAGGGTATCCCTCCAATCATGGGTCGGTGTCGTGACCACCAGCCTCCTTGTTGGGAAGCTCAGGGTCCTGAGACCTGGCATGGTGACTGAAAGGGTGGCTGTGAGCGTCCTTGTCACCTCCCATCCTCTTCTCCCACAGAGCAGTGAGTCCGTCACCCTGGACCTGCTCACCTACACAGACCTGGAGTCCCTGCGGAGCCGCAAGCTGGGGGGCCGCCCGGGTGCCTTGGCCCCCAGGTCAGCACAGCTCAACTCCAAGCGATACCTCATCCTCATCTATTCCGTGGAGTTTGACAGGTGGGCACGGGGCTGGCTGAGGGCCCAGGCTGGTGGGCAAGGGTGGGAGGAATCCCCAGTGCCAGGTGGCTGAGATGTATGTACTTCACCTGCAGTCGGTGGGCTTTGTGTCATTTTACTATTGTGACTGGCTACAGATGGCAGAATGATATTTGTACCTATTTATTTGCATATGCAGTTGAACCCAGGGCTTTGCACATGGTAGGCAAGCACTGAGCTACACTTGGAGAAGTGCTTTAAATAAACATAATGGTTTACCACATAGCTAGACATCCAAACTACAGTTCAGCTTACTATTAGGGACAGAAGATATTTCTGTTTTGTTCTTTGTGTGTTTGCTTGCCTTTTTTTTTTTTTTTTGAGACAGGATCTATGTAGTCCTGGCTGTCCTGGAACTCAGAGAAATCCACCTGTCTCTGCCTCCCGAGTGCTGAGATTAAAGGCATGACTTTGTAGCCCAGGCTGGTCCCTGTGGGAGTCCTCCTGCCTCAGCCTCCCAGGTTCTGGGATTACCAGCCTGTACCACCACACCTGGCTAACGGATGCTCTTTCTTTTTGTGTACATGTGTGGTTTTTTATTTTAAAATCTTTGTATGTTTAATATGTTGCTTCCCCCTCCCCCTTTAAAAAAAAAATCCTATCTTTATCTCTTCATGGTCACAGAATAGCTGCTGGACCTCTCCCTAGGCATCTTTATCAAAGAAGGAAGAAAAGGAACAGGGCTCAACAGATTTCCCATATAATTGGTTTATAAGTGCTCATATGCTGGGAACTGAACTCCAGCCCTCTGTAAGAGCAGCCAGTGTTCTTAACTACGGGGCCGTCTCTCAAGCGCCTTCCCTTAAAAAAATTTTTTTTTAAAATTTGTTTTATGTGTATGGATGGGTCTTTTCCCTGCATGTATCCACCATCTGCTTGTAGTGCCTGCAGAGGCCAGAAGAGGGCCTCTGGGATCCCCTGGTTCTGGAGCTACAGTTGTGGGTGCTGGGAATTGAACCTGGGTCCTCTGCAGGAACAGCAAGTGTTCTAAATGTTAAACCATCTCCAGGCATTCTCTGCCCTCCTCTATTTTATTTTATCTTTTTTTGGTTTTCCAAGACAGGGTTTCTCTGTATAGTCCTGACTGTCCTGGACCTTACTCTATAAACCAGGCTGGCCTTGAATTCAGAGATCCACCTGCCTCTGCCTCCTGGGTGCTGGGATTAAAGGCGTGTGCCACCACCGTCCGGCTCTCCTTTATTATTTTTAAGAGAGAGTCTTGCTATGTAGCCCAGCCTGGCCTTGAACTCTTAGCAGGCAGTCTTCCTGCCTCAGCCTCCTGAGGGCTGGGATTACAGCCTGGAGCCACCACACCTGGCCAGGAATGGCTCTTGAGTAGCTGGACAGCAGGGTCTGTCTGTCCGTCCTGGTGTCTGGGATAGCGAGTGGGAAGTTAGCAGTCCTGAAGGAACTGTGTGTGGTGAGGTAGCACCTGAAGGCACCCTGTAATGTCCCCGGCTCAGGGCTGACTTGGCTCAGGTCATCCCGTGAGGATGGTGCTTCCTGCAGAGCTCACACCACAGTGCCTCCCTGCAGGCACGATAGGACAGCCAGCTGACACTGCACAGATACCGTCAGGCCTGGAGCCCTGAGAATCCTGGGGGCGCCTGGCCACAACTGACCGGCACGGTAGAACCCAGCACTTGGGAGGCAGAGGCAGGTGGGTCTCTGAGTTCTAGATCAGCCTGGCCTATGTAGAGAGTTCCAGGACAGCCAGGGCCACAGTGAGGTCCTGTCTCAAAAACTCAAACAAGCAAAACCCTCAAAGCAAAAAGCCATGAATACAAGCTTTTGGGGACTGCTTGTGCTTATGTTCTTTGGCTCGCAGACCTGTGCCCTCGGGTGGATCTTGGCCTCTGAGATGCTGCGGTTCTGATCCCCTCTCTCAGGATTCACTACCCGCTGCCCCTCCCGTACCAGGGCAAGCCAGACCCTGTGGTTCTGCAGGGCATCATCCGCTCACTGAAGGAGGAGCTGGGCCGCCTTCGAGGGCTGGATGGCGGCCAGGACACTCGTGATACCCGGGAGACAGAGATCTGGCACCTGAGGGAGCAGTGAGTCTGGGGACTTGTGTGGTGGGTATGGGTGTGGGGGATGGGATCCGCACTGCCCGTCATGCATTTCCTTGGGAACATTCGCCTTTGTCCTTCTGAGCCCTTCCTCAGCCTTTTGTTGGGTGCGGAGGATTCAGCAGTGATTGACAGCCCTGGCTCTGCTTTCCTGGGCCCTTAGGACAGTGAGGGGTCCCGGAAAGAGGTGTGGAAGCAGGAGCACTATCAGCGAAGGTGATGTGAAACAAGCTAGGAGGGCGGGCTGGATAAATAGCCCCCCCCCCCCCTTGGTGCTGCCCGTTAATCAGCAACCACAAGAGCGTGTTATTGGATATGGATGAGTGAGGAGGAGGCAGGGAAGGGAGCTGTGACCGGGATAACCCGATAGACAGGTTAGGTGAAGGAGTTAGGGAAGAGTGTTCTAGGGAGCGGGAACAGCATATGCAAAGTCCTCAGCTGTGCTTGAGAGCAGGAGTGAAGGCTTCTGGCATACTCCTGACTCCTGCGGTGTTCTGTCATCTGTTGGCAAGGATTTGGTCTCTACCTGTAGGTGGCTGATTCTTTGAGGAAGACTAGTGACATGAAAACAATTGAATATTATTGTATCATATGCATGGTGTGTGTGTGTGTGTGTGTGTGTGTGTGTGTGTGTGTGTGTGTGTGTGTGTACGCACATGTGTATACACCATGGCATGTGTGTGGGGGTCAGAGGATAACTCTGTGGAGTCGGTTCTCTTCTTCCACATTTACGGGGCTTCCAGGGGTCAAACTCAGGTTGTCAGGCATGTATCATTGAGTGGCAAGCATCCTTACCCACTAGGCCATCTTGCTGGCCCATTTCTTTTTTTTCACCCCCTTTTTGAGACAAGGCCTCATCTATCCGAGACTGGCCTCAAACTTGATGTGCAGTCAAGGATGACCTTGAACTTTCTGGTCCTCCTTCCTCCAGACCCTGGGTGTCCTTGGGCTCATAGGCACAGGCCACCAGACCTGGTTTGTGTTGTGCTGGGATTAAATCCAGAGCATCATGTATACTAGCCAACCAAGCCACATTCCAGTTCCATATTATTCTTTTTAAGATTTATTTTACTATGTATTTGTGTCTGTTGAGGTTATGTGCCCTGTGTGCTCATGGAAGGCAGAAGTTGTTATCCTCACAGCAGCCCTGTGAGACAGACATTGCTATCACCACCATGTTCCAGAAGCCCTGAGGTGCTAGGGGACTTCCCCAGGGCACACAGCCAATCCTATGGCCAGGCTAGACCTTAGATGCAGTCAGCACTTCTGCATTGTTGGAGGTGCCAACCCAGACTGAGTGCCAAGTGCTGCCAGAGAGGAATGGCCTTCTCCCACTCAGGGAGTACACTGGGCAGCAGGACCCATGGGTACTGGGGGGCAGAGGTGGAGAAAGGACACAGTGGGATGCTGAGGCACTTATCCTCCATCCAAGCCATACCTGTGTGCATCTCCAAGGTTGGCCACAAGGTGGCGACCTCCACCCAGCCACATAACTGGCAAGGGTGCCTTGAGCTAGGTGGTTTGGCCTCCCGTTCTGACTGCCTCCCCCTCCTTCTCTTGGAGACAGGGGCTTGCTACATAGACCAGGCTTACTCCCTCCACTCTGGGTGCATGTTCCACCACCTCCCCACAAGGAACTCCACAGGAGGAAGCTGCCCCCTAGGGTGGTGATCCGTGCAGAAGGCGGAGGGTCACTCCTACGAGGGCCAGCTCTACAGAGGCTGGTGCTGGGCAGGGTGTGACGGAGGGTGGGGATTACAGGCATGCTTTGCTCAATGCTTGTGGGGGTGTGTGTGTGTGTGTGAGAGAGAGAGAGAGAGAGGGAGAGAGAGGTACTATTTTTATGTGTTTACTAGATAGACCAGGCTACCCCTGAACTTTCAGCAATCCTCCTGCCTCTGCCTGCCAAGTGCTGAGATTACAGATGTGCACCGCCATGTTTTGCTCTTGTTTTGTTCCTCTCCTTCCAGTCTCCCTCTATCCTGTCTGAGACAGGGTTTCTCTGTGTAGTCCTGGCTGTCCTGGAACTCACTCCATAGACCAGGCTGGCCTCAAACTCACAGAGATCCACCTGCCTCTGCCTCCCGAGTGCTGGGATTAAAGGTGTGTGCCACCATGTTTTGCCAGTTCTTGAGACTGTTGGGTAGAGCGGCGTCTTCTGGCTCTCATCCCACAGACACCAGTGGCGTCTGTCGTCATGGTTGTTATGAACTCCTGAATTTTAAGTTGGTTGAGCTTGTGTTGGTTTCCTTCGACTGCTGTGACAAGACAACACAGATTCGGTGGGTTGATGGGCGGTGGTGGCGCACGCCTTTAGTCCCATCCCAGCACTCGGGAGGCAGAGGCAGGCAGATCTCCGAGTTTGAGGCCAGCCCGGTCTACAGAGTGAGTTCCAGACAGCTCGAAAAACCAAAAAACCATTGGAGTTGGTCAGTGGGATGGCTTCCATGGTAAAGGCGCATGCCACCAAGCCTGCCTGCTGGCTGAAGTTCAACCCCTGGGGCCCACGTGGTGGCAGGGGAGAGCCAGTTTCCACTAGTTGCCCTCTGACCTCCACATGAATGTTATGGCATAAACACAAATAAATAAATAAATGCAATAAGAATGAAAACAAAAGCAAAAGGAAAACCACTGGAAAGTACTCTGTCTCCCTCTGGAGGACGGTGTCTGAGATGGCGTCCCTGGGCTGCAGTGCAGGCAGAATCCCCTTCTGGCCTGTCCAGACCTGGGAGCGGCAGCTGTTCTTTGGCTGTGTCCTTGTCCTCTGGGCTCTGTGGATACAGTCCCCTCCCTATCGGGGACTAGGGAGGTCCAGCCCCTCGACAGTACCCTCCCAGGGTCCGGGAAGAGTCTACAACCAGCTGATAATTAATCTTAGAAGAAAAGAAATGAATCTGTGTACACGAAACTCCTTAGTCCATACACTTTATTATTCTGTCGGTTCTCTCTCTACAAGCTTATACTCTGCTCTCATTTTTAGCTCCTCTCTTGTCCAATTTCTCTTTACATTAATCTACTGTCCCCTCCAGGTTCTATCTTAATTCCTTCATCTAGTTCTGTCCCTTCTAGGTTCTCATCTATCTAGTTCTTTCCCCTATCAGCTCCTCTCCCGTCTCCTTCTCTCTCATCTGGCTCTTCCTCATCTTCCATCCCGTTCCTCTGGTCCTCTCTTCTAGCCCTTCAATCTAGTTCTTCCCCATCTCAGTTTGTTCCTCTCAAGTTCTTACCCGTCTAGTTCTTCCGTTCTCTTTTCCCTTCTCCGTGCTGTTCTTCTCCCTGTCTACAGAAAATGCCTGCCCTTTCTTTCCCTGGGCACATGGTTCCCTGCCTCCTCAGGAATGTTGTTTTACCTCTCACCTTGATATGTAAAATCCTCTTTTGTTTTCAGTCAAAATGCTCTGGAGAACCACTAGGCCTCCTCAAGGCCAGGGGATGGTCTGAGCTTCATTAGCACAGGAAACAAAGCTATGCGTCTCCCGCCAGCTTGTCTCCTAAGCTCAGCAGGGCAGTTAGTAACTTAGTGTGTTCAGCAGGTCTGGGGAGTTGAACTCTTTACCAATTGGTCTGGGTACACAAGGATTTCATAGCAGAAGACAGCTGAAATATTAAAGGCTGGGTAACACCAAATATTCCTAATGAATGGCTTTGCCTTTAGACAGACCCCTGGCCGCTCAGAGTTCAGCTTTAACACACAGCTGAATCTCTGTGATATATTCTTGCCGCCCACAAGATCCCCCCTCTTCTGTGTCTGTCATCTCAGGTTGTGACTATGTTCAGGACCTGCCCAGATGATTCAGGAGAATCATTTTATCTCACCGTCCATATCAGATCTGGAAAAGTCCTCTTTTGCTAAATAGTGCAGTGTTCACAGGTTCCAGGAGAAGGCCTCGGATATCTTTGGGCATGTGTGTGTGTGTGTGTGTGGGGGGGGAGTATTCAGCTCACAACAGATGTGATCTAATCCATTCATTGCAATAGATTTTTGTTTGCATGTTATGTATGTCTTTGGCCAGGTGGAATTGTTCATGTTGGGTTCTATATCCTTTTGGAGGGGCCTCAATAATCTTTTCTGTTTTGTTTTGTTTTTTTTTTTTTTATAAAGTTAGATCTTGTGTTTTTTTTTTTTTTAATTTATTTATTATATATACAGTGCACATATTCCTGCAGGCCAGAAGAGGGCACCAGATCTCATTACAGATGGTTGTGAGCCACCATGTGGTTGCTGGGAATTGAACTCAGGACCTTTGGAAAAGCAAGCAGTACTCTTAACCTCTGAGCCATCTCTCCAGCCCCTTCTGTTTTGTTTTTTAAGTGCCAGACATAGAACCCAGAGCTTGTGCATACAAGGCAAGTGTTCTATCACTGAGCTATACCCTCACTGGGGGGATTCTAGGCAGGGGCTCTACCACTGAGCCACACCCCAGCCCCTCACTGGGGGATTCTAGGCAGGGGCTCTACCACTGAGCCACACCCCAGCCCCTCACTGGGGTATTCTAGGCAGGGCCTCTACCACTGAGCCACACCCCATCCCCTCACTGGGGGACTCTAGGCAGGGCCTCTACCACTGAGCCACACCCCAGCCCCTCACTGGGGGACTCTAGGCAGGGGCTCTACCACTGTTTTTCCAGATGTTTCATTTCTTTATCAGGAGCTAATGTTAGCATGAGCTGCTCATTACAAGTGCTCACTGTCATTGGGCTGATGTCGCACTTAGAGTTTTTTTTTTTTTTTTTTTTTTTTTTTTTTTAGTGGAAAGAGCCAGAAGATAGGTACACTTTTAGGAAGAGAATATACTGTCTGTTCTTACTTTCTCCTTGATTTTTTTTTTTTTTTTTGGTTTTTCGAGACAGGGTTTCTCTGTGTAGCTTTGCGCCTGTCCTGGAACTCACTTGGTAGCCCAGGCTGGCCTCGAACTCACAGAGATCCTCCTGGCTCTGCCTCCCGAGTGCTGGGATTAAAGGCGTGCGCCACCACCGCCCGGCTTCTCCTTGATTTTACACCGTTTTCTCTGATGTTGAAAAATTGTAGTTTCCAAGGTTAGTGATATATTTTTTTATCCCAAACAATACCAATGCAGTCACTGATGAGACTCTGAGTAAAGGTTAGATTTCTTTGCAGCCTCTTTTGCCCTGAAGCTGTGTATCCCACTTGTAAACTCTGTGTTTTCGTCACATCATATAATCCTGCCATGTTATTCCACCTTTGATATACATTTATGTCTCCTGGAGCCTGCTGACTGTCCCCCCCGTGTTGCCCCCCCCCCACTCTGGTGATAGTTCCTGAGGCAGGATCACTTGAACTTAGAAATTCAAGATCCTTCTGGCCAGTATATCCAGAGTCTGTCTCTACATAAAGTATTTTCATAGATCCAGAGTCAAAGCTGGAAAGGGTGCATCCAGAGTGTCCAGTTTCTCCATCTGTTCCCTCTTCCCTTCCTCCACTCCTCCTAGGCAACCCTCCTCCATTTGAAAGTTTTTCATGTATCCTATGTTTTTAAAAATATGAGCATACATAGATAATTTACAACCCCTCCCATTTCGTTTTACAAAACAGGACTTGGTAAATATATTCTTCACCATTTAAATTAGCAAAAATCAGCCCTCATTCCTTTTCACGGCAGCACTGCACCGTGTATGAGCCACGGAAACTATTAGTTCTGTCCATGGACACTTGGTTACCTTTGCTTCTTGCTATTTATAAACAGCGAGAAGGAAAAGCCTTGGTATGTGGTGTTTTCTTAAGGGTCGCTGAGCAGGGTAGCAACCTAGTCAGTTGTTTTTGGCTGGTGAACAGTGTGTTTTGGCCTGAGAGCCTTGGGGGTGGGAGCTGGGACTGTAGAGCTAGGCTAGCAGCAGGCATCTTTGAGCCTGTCTCCATACTGACCTCTTCACTAGGGCAGATGTGCCTGTGGGTGGGGTGGGTGAAGGTGAAGCGGCCTCAGCATCCTTCCTGCCTCGGAGGGGAGTTGACAGGACCAGAGCCCTCCCTGGGGACTGCATTCCTCCTTCCTGGGGGGCCTCGGGGACTGCCTCCAGTGGAGCAGTGGGGAGGGACTCACGGTGCCCGGGTCCTCTCCCCGCTCTCTCAGGGTGACCCGCCTGGCATCGGAGAAGCGCGAGCTGGAGGTGCAGCTGGGTCGCTCCCGAGAGGAGGCGCTGGCCGGGCGGGCGGCGCGCCAGGAGGCCGAGGCGCTGCGCGGGCTGGTGCGGGGACTGGAGCTGGAGCTGCGGCAGGAGCGCGGCCTCGGGGGCAGGGCTGCTGGCCGTCGCAGCCAGGACTGCCGCCGCCTGGCCAAGGAGGTGAGGGGGCGGAGCGGGGGAGGGGGCGCGGCCCGGGACCTTGGACTGGTCTGGACTGCCGCTCTCTCCGCTTCCCTCCGCAGCTTGAGGAGGTGAAGGCGTCGGAGCGCAGCCTGCGAGCGCGGCTGAAGACGCTCAACAGCGAGCTGGCCGTGTACCGAAGGGGGTGAGAGGCGGGGATGGGGTGGGGCTTATGGGGAGGAGCTCAGAAATGGGGTGGAGTCGGGCAGGAGACTTTGGGAGGTGGGCGGGGCCTGTGGAGAATTAGGCAGGGCCCGTAGGTAGGTGTGGGGTGGAGCCCGAGGGCCTATTGCTCCCAGCGGGAGGCATCGGGGAGGTATCTGCCTTTGATTGGCGTGGAAAGGGCTTCCAGGGCGCTGTAGAGGGAAGACCTCGGAAAGAAGGGTCTGGGAAGGTATGAGATGTAGGGAAGTGGCAGGTCCTGGAAAAAAGACTTGGAGAGGGTGGGGTATAGGAACGTATCGTGAGCCCGGGTGGGAATGTTTGGGGAGACAGGAGAGAAGGTGGGCCTCAGGGTGCAGAGGAAGTGCGTGTGGCCCTAGAGTGGCGGTGGGTTAGCGGGTGGGAAGCTGACAGAGGGCCCGGTGCTCCCAGGAGACGCACCCTGCCGGCGCCGGCTCCAGCCCGGGAGGATCGCGCTTCGTCGTCCCGGGAGCGCTCCACGTCTCGCGGCCGCGCGGCCACTCGCTCCTCGTCGCGGGAGAGTGGCCGTGGGGCCAGGGGTCGCGGTCGGCCGGCACGCCCCTCGCCCTCGCCCACAGGTCTGTGGCTGCCCCGCCCTGCCGCGGGGAGGCGGAGTGGGCTAGCGCCCATCGGCACCGGTGTGCGAGCCAGCCTCCTCCCCATACCGTCTAGGTGGTCGTGCGCCCCGATTTGACCCCACAGCCTTTGTGAAAGCCAAGGAGAAGAAGCAGAGAGAGATCAGGATGAAGTAAGTCCGTGCCTGTTTCCTACCCCTGCTCTGTGCTTGGTCCTTACCTCATCTGCTCCTCCCACCTCTCACTAACCGGCAGCTAAGCCTGGTCTCCCCCTTAACTCCTCTGTGCTCCCACTTCTGTCCCCGCTCCACCCCGTCCTCCAGTCCCGGTACTGTTCTAGGGTCTCTTAGCTCCGGTTTCCTTGGCTCCCCTCTCCTCCCTTGGTCCCGCCTCCCCTCCTTGCCCCTGCTCCTCCTTGCACACTCAGCCCCTCTGGTGGCCCGCTCCCTCCTGACCTGTTCTGCTCTCCAGACCTCAGGTGCACTGCTTGCTTCTCCCACCCTCCTGTCGGCGTCCCCCACGTGACCTTGGCGGGCCTCGGGCTCTGGCTGTGGCTGGTTCCCTCCCCGGCTTTGGTTGGTGCACACCTCTAGTCTCTGGTTTTCTAGGCAGCAGCAGCAGCGGAACCGAATGGGCAGTGGAGGAAGCGGGGACGGGCCGTCCGTCTCATGGTCTCGGCAGACTCGGCCCGCTACTGCGGTGACAGGCCGAGGGGACGCGGCCAGCCGCTCCCGGAACCGCAGCTCCTCGGGTAACGGGCCGGGAGAGGCGGTGTGGCTGCGGGAACGGGCCGGGAGAGGCGGTGTGGCTGCGGCCGGTAGGCGGCCCAGATGGCCCTCGGGGCCTAACGCCCTCCGTCTCCCCCTAGTGGACAGTTTCCGCAGCCGCTGCTCGTCGGTCAGCTCCTGCAGCGAGTTGGAGGATTTCTCTGCGTCGATTTCCAGGAGGTAAAGCTTGTGCTCTGGGGAAGGACCCTCTGGAAAGGGCTCCTGGGGAGAGTCTTTTACACGGGAATTAGGGTGACGGAGGCTGGAGGTCTTAAAACCACGAAGGTGCGTCAGGAGGGAGGTATCGAAGATGCTCTATGGTCCCTGATTGCCTTCTTTTCTCAGTCGTCGCTGCCGTGGCCGCGGGAAACCCCCCAGCCCCACACCCTGGAGCGGGTCCAAGACGGTGAGGATCATTCCCAGGCTGGGAGAAGGGAAGGGTAGTATTAAGCCATAGGTGACCAACCATCATCTCCATGGCTCTGTTCTGGTGGCACCAGGTTGTAGAGCCAACTCTAGAATGAGGGTGTTTGGGGCCCTGGGACTGGTGGGCAAAATCTTAGTGGCCATAGTATGTGTTAAGATTTGGACCTAGGAAGTGGCTCACTTGGTAGAATGCCCATGTAGCACGAGGCCCAGGGTTCCATACAAACTGTGTGTGGTGGCACTGGCAGGCCTGTGAACCCAGCACTCAGCAGGAGTGCAGGAGGATCCAAAGTTTAAAGCCAGCCTCAGCTACTGAGTGAGTTTGAGGCCAGCCTGGGCTATATGAGATCTTGTGTCCAAATGAAAAAAGGCAAAAGATCCTTTCCTCAAATGGTGACAGCTTCTCAAACCTAGCCTCCCCTCCTGGTGTGTGACTGAGAGTGTCTGAGTAGCCTCTTTCTGCCTCAGGCTTGGCCAGTTCATCCCTTGGAGGCTCTTGATACCTGTAGGTCCTCAGATTCTGAATCCTCGTGGGACTTGGGGGGTAGGAATAGATGGGGTTGTCTAACCCTTCCTGCCTCTCTTGTCACCAGAAGTCTGCCACTCGAGAACACAACAATCACCAGAGACACCTGGCTAGTTCCGGGGGCTGGGTCCCCATCAAAGGTGAGCCCGGGGGTCCCATATTTGAACCTCCTTTCCCCTCCCTCCATCATCCCAGAACCCTCTGGGGTGACAACAAGGGCAATCCATTGGCTCCTTGATGCTTGGTCTGCCCCTCCTGGTCTGCCGCCCCCAACACACGACCTCTGCTTTCACAGAGTACAGCTCTGACTTCCAGGGAGCTGACATGGCTGAAATAGATGCCCGCCTGAAGGCTTTGCAAGAATACATGAACAGGCTGGACACTCGGTCATGACCCTGGAGAGGTGGTACCCTGATTTCCCATTCCACCGTCAGTGGGTCTGGTGTGGAGGCAGCGCCCCTCCCATGCTCCACACCTCTAGGTGCTCCTGGAGTCTCAGGTGTGTGAGGCCCTGACTCTCCCCTCTCTCCCAGTAATGCATCCTAGGAGAAGAGGGTATGTGTATTTTGTAAATAAATATGGTTGTTCTTGGCTCCTTAGCTTATGATTCAAGGGTAGGAATGGAGTGGAAATGAGGATGGGCTGATAATGGGGACCTGAAAGTGTTCTGGCCTGTCTGTGACCTGGAGGCAGGTGGGTACTAGTGAGCTGTGTGTCTCCAGAGGAGTTCAAGCAAAGTTGATACATCTGGCTCCATGGCAGGGGAGTGGTGTCCTGCAGCATGGCCCACATTGTCTGGTTCTTTTGAGCTGCTGTGGGTGACATGCGGCCGGTTTGGTATTGATTCCTGGGCTCTCACCTGCCATCTCTAGGTTCTAAGCTGTGGTGTCACTTCTGAGCCAGGGTCTCTGGGGTCTTGGTTCAGCTTTGAGCCTTTGGGTTCTGCTTACTAGTGAGGGTGGAGTGGCGGAGCAGGAAGAAGGGCCAGAGTCGGGTGGGAGAGATACTGAAGGGGCAATGTGGCTGGAGCTACACAGGAGCATGCTGGGTGCTACATCTTTATTGGGGGGGTCACTGGGAGGACGGATGGGGCGGGGAGGGAGCAGGTGTCAGGAGGGATTTTGGGGGGGGGTGGCCACACAGGGTCATGCTGTCACTCGCGATAGTGTTCCCAGTTTTGGATGACTTCATAGAGCTGGTCGCCTGGAGACAGTGTGTTCTGCACATCCCGGTGTCCTTTGACTTCATAGTTGGATCTCAGGAAGCCCTGAGCCACCCCACATTCCAGAAGATTCAAGGCGGCACGGATGGCCCGCTTTGGGGGTACCCGATCTGCAAGGGGAGGGGCAAGATACAGAAAGTTAGACTGGGCCTCCTTTGAAGAGCAGGGAGGTGAGGGGTTGGTTAACTGTGCCTCAGTTTCCTCCCTCATAGAAAGAAAATCAGGCACCTACCCATAGGGTTGTGGGAAAGAAAATAGTTAACTTTCAATACACCAGGAAAGGGAGCCTAGCATGGAGGGGATCCTTAGCAAGCATTGCCTGTTAGCATTATTGCTTGGCCCTGACCCTCCTCTGCTCCCAGGCCCCAGGGTCTGGCCCACACAAATAGCTGTCATCTATGAAACATGTTTTAGGTGCCTTAGGAATTAACTGGTTGATTGGAGACAGTCCCTATCCCAGGCTGGCCTGGAACTCCCTGTGTAGCTGAGAAGGATCAGCTTGAACTGATTTTGCCACTGTCAAATATCCCAGTGCTGGGAATAAGGTGTGCACTACCCCATGCGGTCTGTGTTGTGCTCGAGGTTTGAGCCAGGGCCTTGTGCATGGTAGGGAGGTACTTTACTAACCGAGCTACAGACGCAGCCCTGTTTCCTTTTAGTTTTATTTTGAGACAGGATCTCACTGTATGATCCAGGCTGATGTCAAACTCACAATCCTTTCGTTTCCACCTGAGGAATGCTGGGATTACAGCTGTGTAGGACCACGCTTGCCCCTCCCCGCCCTTAATTTACTATTGATCAGCTACTCCCTGCACAGGGTCAGAATGGCCCCATTATCCAAAGAGAAAAATGGGGTCATGAGCATGTAGGTGGCAGAGCCTGTGATCCCCTCCTCCTAACACCATCCCCAGCCCAGGAAGCTGGGTGCTTACCCATGTAGTTGCCCATGAAGGTGATGCCGATAGATATGGGGTTCCAGGTGGGCCCTGTGTGGTCACCCTTGATGTTCC